CACACACACACACACACACACACACACACACACACACACACAGACTCAGACACGTACACACACAGACAAAAGGCCCGACTCGCCTGCAGAACACTGCCCCCTCTCGCCAACGTTGTCCCTTCGTGCACCTCTGTGGTGCTGCTGGTGCTGTTAATGGCAGGGGCTTGGAGGACAAAACGAGGCCTCGACAGGGACTAAAACCTAAGGCTGGCCCAGTGGAGGACAGAGGGAAGACGGGGGAGGAGGGGGGAGGATGGAGGCTGGGCTGTTAAAGACAAAGTGCTGAGGCCTCAACAGGAAGACCCCTTTCCCCACTGATTTTCTCTCAGAGTGGGAGAAAACAAAATCTAGACCTGACAAGGGTATGCCACATTTATCTCTATATGTGCATGCAAGTGCATGTTTTTGTTTCTGTGTGTTTTGATAGGGGTGTTCGTGGGGCAGGATAGCATGTTGTTGTGGTAAATGTTGTTAGTGGGGTGCATGAATGACCAGATTGTTTTTGTCTTGTGCTTACATTCCTTGTCTTTATACCACATTGATGAGAGTTTGAGGCCACTTGAAGGTTCGTATCAAGTCAGGGGGAAAAAAAAACGAGAGAAAAATCAAAAAGAAAACAGATAAAGACACCAGACTGAGCTCCTGACAGTATTACTAATCTCCTACGCTTTTTATTAAACCATTACTGGAAATATTTTGTGTATTTATCCAAATTTGTTCAACTCATATGCCATATTGTTCTGTTTTTTTGTGTCTCTACTGTTTTGCCTTTTTTTTTTTTTTTAGCTTTTCTAGCATTTCTAGAATTTCTAGCTGTGCAACAAATCAGACCGGTGAATATTTGCACTTTCAGAGCTCTTGTAGTTTAAAAATCTCCATGATGTAACGTGTGCAGAGTAGCCAAATCGTGTTGCAGTGCTTTCTGGGAGGTGGGCACACTGCTTCTTCCTGTGTGTTTTTTCGAGGCCGTGCTGCTTTATGTTGGGTGTCCAGAACCAGCTGAATCCGGTTTGAGGCAGACGGAGAGGGCTGACGGGAACAAAGCTGTCTCTATGCTCCACGGGGATACAAGATAGCCCGGGTTGCTCCGTGGCAGCCCCTCTCGATGGCGGCAGCGGAGGTGCTGCTGCCGCTGCGGCTCGCTGCCGGCTGGATGTGGAAGTGGTTCGCCTCACAGCCCAATGACGGGGGGAGAAGGCGGATTTGGGAAGGGACAAGGGCAGTGGGGACGTGGCTGGCTGGGAGTGTGTGTGACTCTGCTGCTGAGAGCCTGCCTCACACACAAACACATGCACACATACTCACTCACACAGGAGCATGATCCATGTGTCTGTTCATATGTCTGCTTGTGGTGCAGAGAATGACCGAAGACGATCCGTAACCAGGACCACCACCACTCACCACATGTCTGGATGTAACCTGACCCTGTGTTCTGGGCCTTCGCCTGTTTGGGAAGATTTTTTTCCTTCTAGACAGGGTGGGGTGGATGGCTGTTGTGGGTTTAGTGGTATTGTGACTCTGTTGCAGGATGGAAGGAAGGAAGGCAGGAAGGTTTGGCTAGTGGCTGGAGAGGGACGAACGCGAGAGGGTGAGGCGTTGCTGATTCACTTGCATGTCTCCACCATTATTTTACATTCACTTTACAAAGAAAAAAAGGCTGTCTTTAACACAAAGATTAGATTTCTGGTGGTAAAAGTGCATGTATTAAACTGCTGTTGCCGAGAGGCATTTTGTGTTGTGTCTTTTTGCCATTTCTCTGCATTAAACCTTCATTTTGCCCTCCTACGTCAGGTTGCTCTGGGTGTCATGGCTGAGTCTGGCTGTTCTTTCCATCAGGCCTTTCACTCTCTTCCTGCTGCAGCTTCAGCGCAGCTCAGCAGCCATTTTTTATCTCTTCCCTGGATTTTTTTCTGCCCTCTCCCCTTCATTACAAATCACAGTCTTTTTATCACTTTACATACGTCCGAATCATAACCATCTGGTTCAAAATGAAGAATTTTGCTGCTACGGGCTGTGGGTTTGTGCAGATGTGTTACATTTTAGTAAAACAAGGTTAAAAGAGGGTTGATCTATGAATGAGTCTTTTGTCTGGTCTCATAAGGCACACAGGCAGACACATTAGAGACTGTTTATATCGTTTGAAAACTAAAAATAGCCAGCAAATAAAGATTCTTCATGTTTTTTACATTTAGTCTTGCTAACACAACTTATCAACATATAGATTTGCTAATGAAAGGATACATTTGTTTGGTTGTTTCTGTTTATATTCACATTTTATATGTAATTCAGACAAATACATGGATTAAGAAAGAATGAAGAGCCTGTCTGTTGGTGTGGGGTGGGGAATGCATCAGAGAGGATTAAAGGCCTGGCATTTCTTAAAGGAATACATATCGCTTGTTGTCTTTTATGCCAAGGTTTCTGAACTGAGATCCTCTTATGTTGAAAGACACAAGATAATGCTTGAAAATAACTTCATGACTACATAAAATCACAATCCTCTAGAGCTCAGGATGTGTGGAGACTGACTCTCTGCTACTACCACCTCAGGTTTACTGCATGTAAAAATGTCTTCTGGCATCTTGACAACAAAATTTAAGCAATTGTGAATTTATTTAACGAGGGACAAAAACAAGGGGATGTTAAAACCCCCCGCTTGCATTGACTACATTCACATAACACTACACGGGTCAGATGATGGGGCACATAACCCTCTATGAACAATAGAACTAATCAAGCCTATTGTTAGGTGATGGCCCTCTTTTGCATGTGACTAACCTGTTTGTTCAGGTGGAGGCAGTGCTTATAAGGCAGAGTTCACCTGAAACTCATCAGACTGAAGAAGTCTCTTGGAGGAGAGACGAA